TGAGCTTGATGATCACATGTGGCAAGATTAGTTAGACATCGCAAGTGGTACAGCTTCGATAGTCTAAATCATCAGATTTTTTCTTCAATTTTTTCTTCTTTCTTGACTCCTATACCTAGTCGGATCTATCAACCACATCGCTGCCATTTCCGTATCCGTTTGGCTCTCGTCCAACAATCTATCAAACTGAGCTACAGCAGGAGCTAGATACAGTTGTAGTTCTGGCATATCTACTCCTCGAAATGAATCGAATAGTCGATGAATTGCACTTATTCCGATGAGGGATACTCCTAATTCTGTTTCGTCTGCTAGGTACCTAAAAAGCTGCATTAAAACTTGTTTGCGACGTTCTTAGAATCCATTGTTTCAAAATTTTCTTTACCTTCTAGGTTGTTACGCTCTAGTCAATAGCAATCATTTTACAGTAATTTTAGATTTTTTGAAGATTATTTGAGCTTTCGAAGTACATAATTTTTGATTTTTTGCTTAAAATAGGCTTGAGCTTTTGAGAAAATAGTTTCTTTCGGTAAATCCCAAAATTATTTGTTCTGAAGACTAGTTTTGTGATCTCAAAAACACAAGCAAACAATCAAGATCTTGGAAACGAGTTACAGTTATCTAGATCATCTTGTTGAAAAGTTCGGGTTATTGTAGCTCGCCGCATTGTCTTATTCTGCAAATACGTACTACAGGCAAAAGATTGAAATGACGCAAGTTTTACCATGAAGAATGTCATTTGCATTTGTTTTATTCTGGAGTTCAGTATGCACTATTTGATCAAGATATTACTTTAGAAAAGGCAAAAGAGATTGAAACGACGCAAAGGTTGACGTAAAAAATCTCATTCGCTTTTCTTTTATTCTAGAGTTTTATATGCGTGATTTAGTCGAAATATTATTTCAGTAATTAAGCTGCTTACTAGTAAAATAATAAATTTACCCTAGAATGTAGATATACAGTTGCGGAAGGTCCGAATGAGCCAGAAAAGTTTCGGCATCCACAAGAATCTGTATACGAGATTTCGCTGGAATCTCTTGATGATTCTGATGTAGCTAAAAAACTGATTTCAGTTCTTTCAAGCCAATTTACGGGTCTCGAAAAGGGTTCGCTCACCAGCCTAGCAAGCATCTTCCAGTTCGTAATGTCGTAGTTTACCCTATAAGGATAAACCCAATTCGGGTTTGCAAGTACCGCTTGACTAGGAGACAGCTCAACATCAACGAAAGTGATGCTACGATTTTTCAGCCAAAACTGGCGCACTATCTGTAAAATAATTTTTTTGGATCTAAACGGATGGTCCAAGTACTCTTACTTGTCCTTCCGTGCTCTTTACAGATCCAAAAGTGTAGGTAAATGGGATAGTCCAAAGATCCGTGGGTTTAGGAGTATGCCTTGGTTTGCGCAACTCGTCCCTTCGTGCATGAATGGAGATGCTTGCCGAAGGCGGTGTAGCTGTCGTTCGGGGCTGAAAACGAGCGGGAGTTTTGAACCTAGAAAAAAGTAATCTGCGAAGATAAAGACCTTTTTTGTTTTCCTCCGCCCATGTTTTCGTCTTTTCTTCACAGGTTCGGCACTATCAGTAGGGATGTACTCAAACATAGAATCATCAAATGGTGTAGTTCCTTGTAAGTCATCTCGACGATGACGACCTTTCCTCAGGTCACGTCTTTCTGTAGAGGTTCTGAAAAAATTTGTTCACTAAATTTTTTCAGTGCACAGTGACTTACTTTCTGAGAAAAGCTTTGTGGTAATAATCGTCGCAACGTCTTTGAGTTACACTTATCATGTCATTGTGGTAGTTTCGGCTGGAAAAAGGCTATAAATTTGAATTTGGAAAAGGTTTCAAATTTAACAGACCTGAAAGTTATCTCGGGTATCCCTTCATTTACCAACCATCCTTCCATAACTGTGCTAAGCCGTTGCTGTTCAGCCCCATGGTCAGCATAAGCTGGCATGCTTTCCCATAATTCTTGCCTCGATACAGATCGATAAGCATTTTTTCGAAGGTACCTAAAGTAAAAAAAAGACTCCTAACCTACTAAAATGATTTTGCAGTGCTGCTGTCGGAAATTCAAGAAAAAACGTAAATTTTGAGGGATTGGAGTTTATTTTATCCTCATCCAAACCATCCCAGGTACCTCATGGTAAGAATAGGAAAAAAGGTGAGAAAGGTAAATACGGGGTGCTGCTGTCACTTGAGTATCTTTTCATGTCTTTTTCATGAAAACCAACATGAGCACGTCTCCTTTTAAATTTAATTCTATTTCATCAAATACCTTTCTTGTTTTACTACTATATAATTTTTTATTTTGCATTGAGGTGGCTGTGGTCTATAATGAAACTTTCTACTTTTATACCTGCGAATACCAGCCCGAAACTCGAAGTCGGAAACCAAGTCGCGGATCATATTTGTCATCACACATCCTTTGGCATAGAGATGAGTACCATGGAAAGATTGTTCTACTTCTCGCTCTGTACTCAATGGTCTCACCAGCGCTGGTCGTTCGGGTGTGGACTAGAAATAAATTATAAAATGATAAGAAGATGTTCAGTCATAGCTTCGACTACTGTGGAACAAAAATGGCGTAAGTTTTTTTTACAGAAAATTTTCTGACAAAAGAAGAAAAATATACAGAATGAGCTCTATAATTTTTCTCAAAAATTTTTTCCTTACAAGGCAGTCTGGAGAGGATCTAGAAGAAAAATCCACTCAAGGGAAGGTACGTAACGGAACCATAATTTTTTTTTCGGTTTTCAAACACATAAGTGTAAAATTATACAAAGTGTGAAATTCCTTGAAATTCAGTTACCAAATTTTTCTCACCTGCTTCCTAACCAGCTGACATAGCCGAGTCAAATACTCGTTATCTGTCAGTTTTGG